AAGAGCCAATATGCCATTTACTATTCATTTTTGAAGTATTTTCATTTTCCATTTTGTCCTCAAACATTTAACAAAATCTCTACTCTTTTTCAACATGCCATTTACTATTCATTTTTGAAGTTTATTCATTTCCCATTTTCTCAAACAATTTACAAAATTTCTATTCTTTTGACCAGTCACTACTCTCATTACTACCTTAAAATAGCGAATCAACCGGTTATTATTCATTCATGACGTATTTAGGTGTTTTCCATTTTACCCCCAACTCCCTCACACAGTAACTCTCACACTAAGGGTCTAATGGCCTTTTTATATGTAGACAAAATAACAAAAAGTCAAAAATAGTATGCTACCTAAAGGATTTGATTCTCCATTTTGCCTGATTTGAATTTTTACTTCTAAAAAAAAAAAATTGACGTCACAAACATAATTTTTCTTAAGAAAATGATGTAAATTATATTGAGAAAATTGTCGCGAAAAGATAATAAAAAATAATAAAATAATTGATTTTTTAAAGAAAAAATGATGAGTTATACACATTTTTTAATACACACATTTGATATCCGTTTAACTATTTTCGATATTGTAATTGATATATTTTTTTATTCAAATATATTTTACCCTTATAACGTGATATGGAGTATGTTGAATCATGTATATTGTTCATTTCATAAAAAGCAATTGTGATAAATCAAAGTAAAACTTAACATATTGTTGAAAAAATTTAATACTCAATCGAAAAGATGTCGATTAATTTATATGACGATATTGAATATTTTAGATGTATATAAATTTTGGAGGATTAAATCAAATATATCAAAATTGGGTAATTAAATAAAAATCTCAACCACATTTAAGTGACAAAATATTATACTATGGCTCAGCTTGTGTTTGGATCCATTAAATTTTTTTTTTCATTTTTCTCTCTTTTATTTTCAATAGCGGAATCTTCGATAAAATAATATTGCACGTAAATAAAAAAATTTCATTAAATTGATTCGATATTGAACAATAAAAAAGAATCGATTAATTACACGATTTAATTATATTGAATATAGTTATCATCAAATACGTCCTTTATATGTAAAATAATCACTCAAACTAAAATAATGTTTGATATATAAATTATGAGCTCCAAATTCGATTTTTAATCCATGCATTAAGGAAGCCTTTATCCTATCTCCAGAAAATACATTTCAATTATAAAAAAACACAAAATTGAGGCCAACTAATTTTTCAACTTAATTATTTTAATATCTCAAAAATTTTATCTATAAAAGAAATTCGATCATTTTTAGAAATTTTTTTCTTATTGTTACTTTTTCCTCTCGATCAATTAATTTTTTAAATAATATATTAAAATTTTTGACGTTATTTAGAAAATTTCCTAATAAACTTTTAATTTTTTTTAATGTCAAAAGAGACATCATTTAAAAAATTAAGAATTTCGATAACAAGCTAATTTTAAAAATTCATCGATGATTGTACAGTAGTCAAATGCATAAATCTTCTATATTCTCTCGAAGCTAATTTCGAGAACTATATCATGGACATATTGAATGATCTAAATAAATATCGAAAATAGTTAAACGTACATCAAATATGTGTGTTCAAAAGATATTATATATAAGTTTCGGTAGCTCCTTTTTCATATATCTTATGTGTATAGATTATTTTGGACAAATATGAACTCTTTTGGCTTCAACTTGAACTCTCAAGTACGCTCATGTATATTATCGATTAATAATAGTATATGATGATGTAGAGTGTGTGTCACATATGAAGATTACATTTTCATTTATCTTTTAAACAATTAATCAAATTTGTAGATTTATTGAGAAAAATGAATAGATATTTTGACACGTTAATATTACCTAAAAAATAACATAGCCCGTGCATTGCACGGGTGCAAAACTAGTATCCTTATAAGAGGGAATGATTTTCATTGAGATGAAAAACATAATAAAAACACAACTTGAGAACTAGACACAACAACTTGAAGTATTATTCTCTCAACAATTTTACACTATACTATTTTGACAACTCAATAAGAGGCTAGTTTATTTATCTTCTTATGGTCGTGCCCATAAAAGAAGAACAAGCTGTGAGCAATATAATTTTATCTTGGAACCTGTAATGTTGAAAGTACCTACACAAAGTAGAGGCAATATGACTTTATGACACTGTCTTCAACGTGACTCTCAAGTCTTGCACTTCGAACCCTTCTCTTCTTATGTTTATATTATTGTTGAATTATAATGTTATCATATTATTATGTTTATGCAATAATTGTATTTGTTATTTTATTATGTTAATTGATAATTTATCTACATACAAATCACTCAACAATCTAAAACTGTGTTTGTGATTTGTATGTAGACAATTCTTGGTATGTAATTTGTGCATAGATTTGTGATGATTATGTGTAACCTTCAACCGTGTTTGTAAGCTATGAAACTCTTGTATAATTATATTATTACTACACATTTAAACATGGGGAAAATTGCAGTAGCGGTCTCAAACCTTTTCAATTTTTGCAGACTTTACCCTAACCTTCATTTTGTGCCAACGAAAATCTCTAACCTTTCATAAATATGTATCTGAAATCCAGATGGATGGAATCCATCCATTTAAGCGTTAGTTGAATAGAAGAGTCAAAATTTGACCAATTTGGACCAAATTATAAAAGATATAATAGTACTTTTCATTTTTCTCATATTAAATAAATAAAAAAAATTAAATTAAAAACCCCAAAAAATAAAAATAAATATATAACCCCACTCCACTCTACTCCCCTCTACACCATCCCACTCATTTCTTCTCCAACGGGACCTACCGAAAATCGTTGCCACTGTCGCCTTCTCTCCAACGAGACCTACCATAAAGCTGCCACCACCATCATCAAACCAAAACCAACCAC